GGACCCACTTTTTTATATAAGCTAATTGGTTATAATATTAGCTATTTTATGTACTTATTATTATAATTCAAGTATTTTATTAGATTTATTATTAATTATATAAGCTTTTTTAAAAATTGAAAATGTAGTTTTCTTGTTAATACTCTATTACTAAGGGTATAATTCCCGGAATTAGGGTTAAAAAATTAAGGTTAACTTTTTAACTCTAGTTAATATATTTTCTACTAATTTAAAGTAAAAATATTACTTTATACCATTCTATAGTAATTTTTTTAGGCTTATATGTCTTAAGTCTCCTTGTAAGGTAGGTTATTTAGTGTTTCGTGCCGTATCGCGAGCCTTAAATTATTATCGCCGTTATTATCAATTAAAAAAGTTAATATTAGAAGGTTATTTAGGCTAATTAATAAGCTTATTTTAGTTAAAGAAGAATATTAGTTACTCTAATTAGTAGAAATTAGCGTGAAGCTATTATTAATATTTTTAACAAAGAATTTTTAAAAGATTTCACGTAAATCTTAATAATTAAGTCTTTTATAAGTATTAAAGCTACCTTTATTAGCTTAATATATTATAAGTAAAGATAAATAAAGGTTTATATAAAATATTAAGTCTTTACTTAAATTTATATATTATATTTAATTAATTTAAGTTTAATGCTTATATTATATTAAATTATACGTTAAAATTAAGGTTAAAAGATTAACCCCAATTCCGGGAATCACAGCCTTAGAGGGATGGGGCCCCAATTTCTAGGCATGTGACTTCTTGCCAAACGACCCGACACTGGCAGTGTAGCCTAACGTTGGGCACCATCTTCTGTGAATTCAAAGTCTGGCGATTGAGAGAAATGGGACGCGTCGTACCAACTATTATTTGACATATTTGGCGACTGGTAGTAAAAAACTGAGCTGGACTTCGCCTTGAGAAATCTTTCCCTCCTCAGTGAACATTATGTAAGCGTGGGGTGGGCCGAGGGCGACTGATACATGCATCAGTCGCCGTGGGCCGATTAGACTCGAGGGGCGGGCCTTCAGTATTGAGAGCCAGACGCATAACTCCGGCGACGCCTGACCCTTGCAAGCTAACCGCCGTACTTCGGATGTCTCGCACGATCTCAGCTAGCGCCGGGATGCGACATGCACATTACGGCCCTGCGTCCGCATATCATATCGAACTAACTCATAAACGAATTTGGAAAGCGGCAAGATGGGCACTGTCAACATCGATGAGATAACATGGGTCGCTTCCTCCGATCAAAAATGGTTCGAATTTCTTATATAAACGCCCCTTCTGCCGCGGTGAGATTCTACTCTAGTATCCTGTTGATAATCTCTGAGCTACAAGACAACGGCACCAATACACTGCCTCTTAGTTTTTAATTCATTTCAATCAATACACTTTTTTTTTACACTTTTTTTAAGCAAGATGGATCAGTCTCTAGGGAATGGCCCAGCCGAGTTGACTTCCGGTATTCATGACCTTGACATTGGCAATGGAGAGGTCCATAAACGCCATACCAATGCCAGCGACGAGCGGGGGAGCTTGATCGCTGAACAGAGCACTGCTAGAGTACTTGCCGGAGCGGCTAGATGGTGACTTTCTGCAGTGGCTGGATGGTGACTTGCTGCTGTGGCTAGATGGTGACTTTCTGCAGTGGCTGGATGGTGACTTGCTGCTGCTAGAACTTTTGCTGCAGCGGCTAGATGGTGACTTGTTGCTGTGTTAGAGCCCCCGAGCGATGCAAGACAGCAAACGATCTAACCAAAATGCCCATGTGATACGTAACAATACTGCACGAATTTTGAGATGGGAAGTGTGCTAAGCCGGGCTGGTGCCATGGCGCCGAAATGCCATTTAAGGATTGGAAATAGTGCCAAGCACAGATACACTGCTGAGTGCGAGGCCTGGATAAACTGCCAGGTGCGAAGCGAAATGATGCCTAGCCTCGATTGCCAAGCCCGCTGGGACAGCTAAGTGCCACGCCAAAGGTGCCTAGCCTCGATTGACAGTCTATTTAGTGGATGGTAGCATCTGTCACAGCAGCCCTCACAGCAGCACCTGTCACAGCAGCACCTGTCGCAGCGCCTTTCACAGTAGCACATATCGCAGCAGCGCCTTTCACAGTGAATAAATTGCTGCACAAGCTCTTCGCTTAGAGCGTTTGGACCGCGCATAACCAAATTACTAAGCAACGGATAGATCATGAATTGAGAAGTGCTATTGAATTATCCTAGGTTCTTCTTTGACTTTATTTACATTTGCCCTAGACCCTTATATCTGTTGAAGTTATTATAGTTATGAACCCTTGCCAAGTGAGCCTGGAAGGATTGGAGTTTGTTGAACGTAACTTTCTTGTCTTGACATCTTGGCTCAGGGCACAACACCGACTGCTCACTAAGCCTTCTAAGATGTCGGGATATCAGGTGGTCCCTTGCTCGATAAGGAGAGCAAAACCTGTTAAACCTCTGGCTTGGAGGCGCGCGCTCATCCCAGAAGCAGACGAAGCATTGGTTTATATCACAGCTTTTAACCACCGTCTTCACCTCGGACTTCACGCGCGGCGGTTCCCGCTCCCTACCCAGGCGTATCATTGCGTGTGTAGTGTAAATGCGATATTTTAGCTTCGTCTCGTTATCTAGCTTGCTTATATTAGCGCATATAAACTCTACTAGTAGTCGGCGCTCCTCTAGATTGTACGAAGGTTGGGGATTTCACGCCTTTAGACTTGGGTTAAGAAATGAACTAGCTTCATCCTCCAATTGCGAATTTATTTCTATAGTGCTAATAGTTTTAAAAAAGTCTTATCGTGTTGTTGCCTTGGCCAGCTTACGGAGATATGCTCTTGTTAATCGCACCTTGTTTTCCAGGGTACGATACATCTAATACAGCACCGTGCCATGGGTTTTTGCTTCTCTAATACTCCCTAACTCGCGACGAACTTCTTAGCTTAGTGTATCCCGAAGTTCGATAAGTTTAACTAGCGTTGGGTCCGTTTTAATGTTTTTAAGCTCCAGATAGCTAGCATTAGTTGGGGCTCGTGGATTAATATAGCGGCTCATATACCCGGCTGCTTTTAGCAAAGCCTTGTTTAAGGGACTCCCAAGGAAGGCCGCGACAGTGTCACATTGGACACGCTGGTTTATGTACGCCTGGTAAGTGGCTGCGTTTATATGACACATAACCTGCTGAAGTTGAGCCTGCGTGGCAACGGCTAGATAAAGTCAGTTAGTGAAACCTAAACTAACGACCGCATCTTACCTTTAATACCTTCTCCAGAGCCTCGGCGAATGTAATATGGATTTAAGATTTGCATGAATCCTGTGACAAGCCCCAACCTCTGCAGGTAGTACAGGTAGGTATGATAACGCAGCGCCTCAGTGTCGAATGTTCGGACCTTTCCGTCATTGCCTGACACCGCCTGTCGGAAAATAGGTTTGTTTCTGAATTCCCTGTGCCAGTCAAACTCAAGCGACCTCCTTGGCGGCTAGACTTTTATCTTATAAAAGTCCTAAACTGTCCGAATATTTGCCTCGAATGCTTGGTCTAGAAGGGCAAGAGCTGAGAGATGGAGGACGGCATCAAATAGAAGATCATCTACCTCATAGAAAATGAAGGTTTTCCTGCGCAGCCGCTGTTAGACCATAATAGGCATGGTGGTATTCTGGAGTGCTCACGGATTCTCTCTTCTCTCCCAACCTTTGGTATACCGAAGCGTTACTTCCATCGCTGGTAGATCTCTTCCCCCTTCTGGATTTTTAAGGAGGATTAATTTAACATCACCGTAGGTGATTGTCTTGAAGTCATCTTCCTTTGGGTCCTATTCGTCTGCAGAGTCCTCGGATTCTATGTCTTCGTTTTCAGTCCTAAAATAATGATCATTCAAGGCTTTCTTGTTCAGCTTCTTGTATGCAAATACCCTCGAACGTGTTACCGTATATGCCTGTAGAAGGATCAGGAGTGCAAGTTGTATTCTTTGGCGTTCGTCAGGGAACACGGAAGTATCATGAACCCAGTGATGATATTGCACTAAGTAAACATCATTGACGTCTATAACCGGCTTCTCATTGATCGAAGTGTCGAGATTATAGCGAATCGTGAGGTAGCCATTAATATACTATTAAGCATGTAAGTAGACGTCTAGAAAAGTGTGATGTAATTCCACCGTTGCGATGAACTCACGTCATTAATCTCTTCATTGGCCTCTTTATTGAAATCGATGCCAACCGACTTCCTATAAACCTGGAAAAGAATCCTCTTGTACGCGTGGACTGTGCTTCTTTTGCGTATTCTGCGATACGAGTCCAGCATCCACTGCAAAAAAGTCATGATATCTTCTTTGGAGGCATTTTCGAGATGATTAACCGCGTCGGTACACAGGTGATCGCAGTGCCTGGCTGAATTAGATATGGGCGTTACAGAGTCGCTAAATCGCCGCTCACCTTGTCCATTTTGACTTGACGCCATGCATATTGACTTTAGTTGTGTCGGCATGTCGTTTTCGTACAATGCCATGTTTGGCGAGCCGCGTACGCTTCGACCGATAGTATTCCGCGGGATGCTGAACGCGCAGCGATCTTTTCTTTGTAGCCATATTTTGACGGATGATGAAAGGGGATGTCCAGGAACTCACCTCAACAGCTGGGCGAAGGGGTTGGGTCCTGATCAAATATCACAATAATGCAAGCGCCGTGTTTTGTGGAGTCCCGGCGCCGAGGCTGACATGGTGTGTGGCTGACGGAGGTCCGTCTAAGCGCCTTGCAAATTGTCCTCCAAAAGCGGCGGACCCAACCTCCAAAAACCGGCATCACGACTTCCACAAATGGAGGCACATTTGCGGTGAACCTGTACTTTTGTCGTAATGTTATTTCTTGACTCTATAATTCTTATATATAAGTGGCGCTCTTAAGGCCCATTACACTAGGAATATGTTCGGCCTCCTCGCAGTCTTCAGTCTTGTAGGACTTCAGCCTAAACTTGATCTTGAATGTTAATGAGTCTCCGTAATGCTTCTTACATCGTCACGTACCCTGCAAATTATTTCGCCCCGTTCAAATCATGTGACCCATCCCGTACGACACGACTGCACAGTCCAACTACAGAACTGCATAGTATTCCCTCACACATGGAAGTTGTATCCGAGCCGGAGAGATTTTTCAAAGGGTGGCTGCGGTAGGGAGAGCGTCCGAGACTCTTCTGGTATAACGATGGGCAAGTCAGGATAAGTCCACGAGAGCCCTGTTTTTTCCTTCTTAAGTTCCGTGTCAACGATTAATTCTACCAATCGAAATTCACAGAGTCTAACAGCATTGATAGTGGCACCGGTAGTATGGCCGGCTTGGTTTGAACTGATGCTATGCTAGTTGACGTCGAATAGGAAGTATCTCTGGCACCCTCCTTTGTCCTTTCTAAACCCCCAAGGACAGCAAAAATCTTTGCCAGATCCCCAAGTTCAGGAGAGCTAATCTCTCCAGGGTTGCACGGGCGGCCTTGGTGGTGGGATTCATCTTCACTGCGAGAGAATCCTCGAAGTTGGCCCTGGCGTCGTCCTTTAATGAGCTTTTTCCAAAATTTAATGTCTTTGCCGTCACAAAGGCCTTGCCCATGGGAGCAAGTCGTCGAAAATCCAATGTCACGAATCTGGTATGCTTATGTCCATTTGTCTTGCCATGTATTTGTACGAGGCATCAAGAGCGAAAACTAGTTAATAGGATGTATAAAGGCACACAGGAGTAAGTTAGGAAGTTCGGAGATTAATATCGTCATTTGTCAGGACCTGACTAGGAACGACTAGGACGACTTGATAGCTGATATCTAGTTGGCCTCAACCGTTACTTTGTATTACGATCAAAATGCCCTATGACGAGCACGTGCTGAAAACGAGAAGATGAAGACAGTCAGACAGTCAGATAGTCAGATAGTCAGATCGAGGAAGCTGGAACGCTTAATAGCTCATTGCAGTTGACGGCACTCCTCATGGACATGGGACAAAACAGGTCCTAATGTAGTCCAAGTTTGCACACTGCTAGGTAAACATAGGCCTATGAATGCCAGTCTGAGAGCCACAATATGTATCATGAGTAACTAACTAAATCTCATTATCCAGAACTCCAGGTCAGGCGGTGCGTTGTTGCGAGTTGATAGCCGAGCTATGCGGAACAGCAGCGCCATACTCTAACGAAAGTTTTCGTGTACATCCGAGCGCAGGACAGCCGCGTCTCTGCTTGAGTATGCACTGGAGGTTATGAAATTACTCAAACTTGTGCCAGCTACTACGAGGCGTGCGGTTTCCGTTGCCCAGTGGAAAACGTTTATTTTTATTCATAATGGCACGAGAAAGGGCGCTCAAAAGCGCCCTGCCTCGTCTCCAATTGCCCAAATTGGACCTGTCAGTTTATGGCGGGCAAAATTACCACCGCGTCGTGCAAAGACCACTTCGTCCAGTCTGCGTCGGCATGGCGGCCATACCATTCCACAGCGAAATCCCAATTTGCTTGATGGGACGTACATCCCCCTTTGCATCCCTCTAGTTGCATACCATTCATCAACCTCGGATTCATGGCGAAATGGTAGCCGGACCGAGCAGGTGTAGACGACATTGTCCCAGGCATTGCGAATAAGAACTTGTCGTCATCAGCATGCGGGCCCCCTCTATGCAAAGCCCTTACCCCAATACATTACCCTAATACAAATGAACTACTATCGTCCAAGCACTCGCAATTTAAAATGAAATTAATACTAAAATGGTCAAATACGTATGACATCCCACTGTAGGCATCCTCAGTCTCTGCAAGCACCACGTGTCATTCACGATTTCCCTAGACACAATACAGCAAAGCATCATGTGTGGTTGATGTGTAAGATCGCTGGGTTTCCCGAGTCCGCAGACCAAATCTCAATATGGTCAAATTGCGTACCAACATAGATTGAGAACTGGCCGTCTCCTGCGGCATTTTTGCATGCCTGCGTAATATCAATAGATCCTATTTCAGTATGGGGTCGTACGGCAATCGAGTTAAAAGGATCACCTGAATCTGGTGCGTTTTGACCAGTAACAGTGTCCTCGCTCCACTGCGAAGACACGGCTTGAGCCACTGTCACATTGACAGAATACTCCAGGGGAGAGGTGAATGTCCCAAGTCGCACAGTACATTGAGTTATCCGTGATGGTTCAACAGGAACATGGAAGCCAATCAGCATGCGAATATAAGCCAAGCCGCCCGTGTTCGCCTCCAGAGTCATCTTTTGACCTAGGGTGCATTCATAGCAGTTGCGGTCAGGGCAGTCCGCGCAGCTCACTGTGGAGCGAAGAATCGTGGAATCTTTTATCGCGAGAGTAGAAATTATTTCTGCGTGAGAAGCAGGGATGCTTGCGGCCAGTAGAAGGCCTTTGAGAAGATTAACGAGTTTCATTTTAAGGAAGTCAGGAAGGTGGTAAATTGGATAGACTTGTAGATGTGCTTGGTGGGAGCGTTTGTTTTTAGTCGGCATGTGCAACCTTATAAATAACTGACTGCCCCGTACGACCCAAGTCAGCAGGGATGAGAAGCAACAATGTACGGAGTAGATGGAGAGAAGACTTGGACTTAAGTGGAGCCTTTACTCTGGCATTGCTCAGAATAACTGCATGTTAGATATTCCGGATGGATGGGTGGATGGAAGCATGTGATGGGCGGTTCTACGTATAATTGGCGCAAAAATGGCTCCTAGGTAGACGTGGTGTGATGCAATGAAGATGTTGTCATGCCATGCTGACGCTCGCTACATTTGGCTTTCAGCTCAAGTTCTGCGTATAGGCAGGTGGCCAATCCATGTTGTGTCAAGTACACACTCTTTCGACCTGCCGCAACCCTCATCCGTAATGACTCGACCAGACCCCACTTGGTTGTCCTACGCATTTGTTTTGAATGATGTTTGATCACATCCCTAAGGCAGTCTCGTCCCCTTGGAAAGAGGAAAGATGGGGATAAAGTAAAGAGGACGAGTAAATTGCTCTGAATTGGGCGGATTTTATTGACGTCGGGTAGTCAGGGGGTCATGGGTCTGGTCCGTTCATCCGCCGGAGCGGGCCGAGCCTAGCGCGCTTTGACTTTATTTTCAATGAATGGACTTCGCTGCATCGTTTTGCGGCCCGGGAATTGAGGTGATGCCGCCCAAAGAGACAGCGCAAGAGATGAGAGAACGTTGTACAGAAGCCTGTTTGCTATACTTGACTGTGGGAAGATTCAACTCACGTCCAGCCAAGTTCTACAAATTTGAGACTAGCCTGCTCTGACATGCACACATGCTTGTTCAGTCGCCTGAGATCCCCAAGTAGTCGCTCTTGTACCACAGTCCTATCCCCAGGTTCTTCAGGTTTATTAGCAACGTAAACGCTGACAATAGTCGAGGTATTATGCAACGGGACAAGGTAGATAGGTTGTCCGTCTAAGATGAACGGTGTACCCGGGAGTCCTGGCATTAATGCCACGTTTACTTGAGCCTGCGTCATTCAAATTGCCAAGGCAGAATAATTCGTGTCCACTTGGGCGAATAAAGCAATTTCCAGAGGCGAATGCTGCAGCCCCTTCCTGCGGAGAGCAGCGGGTTTAGGAGAAACCGCAACGATTATAGCAAGAGCAAGCCGGATGGCTGAGATTGCCTTCTGAAGCGGTGCGGCAGCAAGTCATTGGAGTCTCATATCGGCCTGCATCTAATACTTTCATAGCCGTCTGTTACTTTTCCAAGCGAATCAACTCATTTTTCAATAACTAGACCATTGGCGCAGACAAGACTTGCTGTGCGACTACAGCTGCTGCTTTCAGATCAAAATCCTATCTAACTGATGATGCGAATTTCAAAAATGCGGACAGCTCCACGCTGTTTGGAATAGAGCCCGCCCCGTGTGGAAGGAGGTTACCGCAAGTATAGACGAAGCAAATCATCGCTCTCATCCCGCGAGGTCTCCCTCACCCCTCCTAATAAGATTGATATCCCAACCTACTTTTTGTTGTGTATTAGAAATGACAGTCATATATTCCTTGTCATGGAAGTTTTTTTGCGGCGGCCAATCTGATACACCCTCCCCGGCGACGCAGACGGCATCACTCGACGGAATTCGATCGATTGGCGGATATATCGGCACGAGCCACAGGGGACGGGCTGACCCTTGCTGAGGCTGGCGATTCCCTCCACTCTCCACCACTTACATGCTCTCTGTGCCGGCGAATAATCAATATTCAGGTTACATCACAGCCGTCCCTGTGGAGAAGTCTCAACTTGAGTGCGCCGCTGTCCTCACTCCTTTCGTCTCTGCCGGCATACATCTTGAGGCTGAGCTGAAGTCTAAACCGGATGCTCTACTCACGCCGCCCGCCGTCACACAACGCACAAAAAAGCAATGCATACTACGGTAGCAGTAAGAGGTGATGTTGTGTTTCACTTTGTCTTCGTGGGCTGAGCGTCCCGCATATAATCCGACATTACGCGATTTTGTGGTTGTATGACGGTGCCTCTCTTATTTCAATGATTTGGTCCGTCTCTAGCTTAGCCAGGCAGCTGATGTTCCAGCTGAACCATCAATTCCTGACCCGCAACAACCAACATGGCCGCCGGTAGCGAATGCATGAGTGCAACCATCATCGTGGCTGCCACACAGTCCATGGGGATGAGCTACAAAACACGCATGCCATGGCCCAAGCTAAAGCGAGAAAGCGGCTACTTCGAATCCACGACCACAAGAAGTATAGGCCCGCAAACGATGAATGCCGTGATAATGGGCTACAAGACGTGGGACAAGATTCCTACCAAGAGATATCCCGGCCGAATCAACGTGGTCATTACACGAAACCCAGAGAAGGTCCCGCCTCGGTTGCAGGGTGATTTGAGGAGAGAGCCGCTTCATGTAGCGACAAGTCTTGAGGGCGCAATGGAGCTTCTACTGGAGACGTATAGGGGATCGAGTTCGAGCTCCTCAAATAGCTCATTTGGCAGCGACAATTGGCTTCCCGCTCTGGGCCGCGTATTTATCATTGGTGGCGCCGGGCTGTGTCATGAGGCGCTGCGAATGCCATGGGTAGATCGTCTACTACTTACACGGATCGGAGCCGATTTCAACGCGGACACATTCTTTCCTCTGGATATTGATGGTCGCGGGAATGATGAATGGGCTCGACAAAGTGACCGGGCTTTTCAAGACTGGGTAGGGCCTGATGCCCCGGATGGCATGCAGATTGAGGATGGAATTGCATGGGAGGCGTACATGTTTACGCGGACTGGTGGCACAGTTTGTCGTAATGGGATAAAATGAGATATTGTTCGCGAGGGAAAGTAGTAAGAAGATGTTCGACCATGCTCTTCAAGCAGACTTGAGATATATCTAGCTTTCTACTTCGGAATGATGGCAATTTGTCCTTGATCGCACCAGAATAGAATTGGCTCACCTGTGTTTCATTGACTAATAAGCTTACTTACCGGTAAAGATTGATAGATTTTACAGCGGTCTAGAAGAGAAACGGGTGAACTCTTCACAGGCAGCAACATCGCTATGTCGCTTACGAGCGGCATTAGCACGACGAAGCCTCCAACTGCGACTAATGCACTACGAGGCAAGATGGGAGAAACCTCAGAACTCTAATCACCATGCTCTCGTAGATGACACCAACACCCACATCAAAATCACCGCTGGACCGGCAAGATCTAGCCTAATAAATACCTCAGCGTCATTATGCAACTGCAGTCAACTATCCACATTCCTCCTTACCTGCTATTAGGCACTCTTCCTGTATCGTTCTATGTCTCTGTTTCCTCTATTATGACAGCGATAAAATGGATAAGTTTGTTGTATTATATATTTAGTCGCCATTATTGAATCAAGTAAACCAGCCCCCTCTCCACTAACCTGTATTTTCTGCGTGGGAGTAGACATGCACTTCCACACAACTTCCTCGCAACCTTGAATCCAATTCTCCTCTTTTCATCATCGCTTCATACTGTAGATCAAAACAACAGACACGGTCATTTCGGTAACCAGTTCTCTTCAAATCCCCTTGATGCCACAATATTTTATTCTCCTTTTCATGCCCCAACGCAATGAACTAGCGAATATGAGATATTCAACAGTAATTCGGCCTGAATAAAGAACACAATTTGATGGTCCGCAAGTACCACTGTCAGGCTTAAAACAATCTTGTTCATACCCCCCACTGAGCGAGGCTGTCATTGAGGGTTTGGGATATATGGCGTCCATGTTGTCTCAGAAACCTCTCTTGCCATAGCTCTCAAATTAGACGACGCCACTGTAATAATAATCGGACGTGACAAAGTGTGTAAAATAGTCATGATAAAGGAAAAATACAACGATGGAACCATTAAAGGCCAGCCCGGTCCAAAGCACATAGAGACTATGTCCTTTAACCCTACACCACAGTATATCTCCAAGTCTGTAGAGGAAAAGACGGCAAAGCAACATTTCGAGTCAAAGAACTACCAAAACTCAGTCTATATAATCACAGGCCTGGTCATTGCCAGAAAAATGTCTTCTAGCAGCCAAAATATCAATACAGGCGACAATGGCGAACCAAGCGTTGCAGTCGACCCTAAGGGTGAGGCAACACAGCCTCAGTCTTCAGCTACGTAATCCGATTCCATTTACGCATTTGGCTTCAGGGAAACTTTCCACAGAAAAGCATTCTTTCCCCCGCAAACCCGTATTTCTGCAAAGGGACCATATCGAGGGCGCTGATTACCAACCCCAAGTACTAGCATAATTGTTGGAATTTCAACAGCAATTTGCACAACAGAAAAAGAAGTTAAATTGACGATATTAATGATTCAATTGATGTCTAAATTTATGACTAAAAAGCCCTGCTAATTTGACCCCCTTTTATCCTCCTTAATAGTCAGTACCCCTGAAAAAGCAACCATCACGACCAACAGGCTTGAAAGAGCCCTATTTATTCACAACAGTTGCAGAAACGCCAATCTCCTTTCTAAACCCCAAAGGCGCGTTGGATGTGAGACATGTAACATTCTGCCTAAGGAAACACCCTGCTATTAAACATAGTCTGTACAGCCCGTACGAGTCCGACGCGATCATTTCTAGATGGGCTTGACAGACGCCGTGCTCAAGCATAATACCATAAGTGACGCAGCTGCCCATACTTGCTACGTAGGCAATCAAGAGACTGGCTAAGGCCACGGCGGAACACACATAGTCTTGGAGATGAAAGGCGTGTGTTGCCTCTATACGATCGAGATGCGACCACGGCAAGCTATATGGAACACGTAGGCTGCACGTATCCTGCCCAAACGCGGCATCATCATGAACCTTTTTTCAATAAAAGCATTATGAAGTCATGCCCAAAGCATTATGAAGTCATGCCCCAAGTCAAATTCATCAAGAGAAAGAAGGCATTCGTCCCAAAAGTCAGCTGCATCGGCTGCCCGAAAGTCGCTGCATTTCGAAAAGCGGTGAGTCGTCTATAGCTTACAGTACAATGAAACAGTTTCCCGAATCAACCAGGCCAGCCGTGGCACAAACTCCCTCTTCCCTAAATCGTACAAATAAGAGCACCCGCATCGTTGCCCTTTGACCTTTCATTCTCCCAGATTTCCTCGCCCTCAGCCCTACATGAGATGGCTCCTTGGATGCCTGCAGACGACCTGGGAAGAGCCCCTTATCATCAGGGCGAGGGTGTGAAATGTCGGTTTCCACATCTCTACAGGGTGGGTATCAAAAGCCATTGCTTCAAAGGTTTGCGTTCCGATGACCAAGAACAAAAAGATGCCAGGCGACAAGGAATGGGGGGGAATATAAACAAGGGTCAAAGAACCCTGAGAAAGTACAGTCTTATGCTGTTCCGTAAATATCACTGCGACGCCGTTCGTTCCCTCGGCGACTGATTTGCCTCCCTGTAAATGCCACCATTGCCCATGTTTATCTGTTTATCTGCCCTGTCTCCCGAACGCCTAGCCGTGGTGCTAAAAAAGAAATAAAGAGAAAAGAAATAAAAGACCTCAGAGGATGTGGTGCGTTGTTCCGCTAGCCAGAGAAGGGAGAGGGTGCTAATTAATATCAAAGTTGGTAGAGTGGGACTACGTCTATCCGTTCCGTGTCTTCGTTTGGAGGGGGGTTAGGGGTGGTCGTAAACATTCATCGTTTATTGCCGTTTCCTTTTTTTTTTTCCGCGTTTGATCGTGTTGGTATTCGCTTTGTGGTTATGGGAGATTCTTTGTTCAGCGCAACTACCTTCCGAGTCGCATGAAATCAAGTGCAACGCTGTCACTGTGTGAGGCGGAGGGTATAGCTTGTGATCCCTAAATCATCTGTGCTGTTGGGGCTCCGAGGCCGTGTGGCGACATGCCGTGTCGCAGTGCGTCTTGAAGTTCTGCAATCTGCGCCATCATGGCAAGCGAATGCTGTGATTGTTGCTCCATCTCGGACTTGAGCTTCTCATTTTCCTCGCGGACTCGCTTGATCTCGTCACGAAGCTCCGTAAGCTCATCCCCTTGTCCACTGGAGCGGCGCTTGCGCTTCATGCTAGACTTCTCGCTTTCGTTGTCTTCCGGTGAAGCAACCGAGTCGGCCGGAGGTGTCGTGACGTCGCCGGTGGTATGCACCCGCCGCAAATGCTCGTTGAGGTTCTCCTGTCTTGAGAAACCTTTGCCGGTGTGCCGTTTGCAGTTTGGATGGGGGCAGTTTACGGTATTTTTGGGACCCCCGTGCTTGTTATGAACTTCGCGCTCGTGTCTCAGCAAGCCTCCGGAGTATGTGAAGCCAGGAAGGTTCTCGCATCCAGGGGCGGGACATCGGTAGGGTCGCTCGTGCTTGTCCATGTGTTTGCTTTGCATCGTTAGCGGCTGGGCGGCATTGGGCAATCACCTAACATGAAACTTACTTCCATTCACACTTGCGTGAAAATGCGCGGACTTCTTCTTTGCATTCCTCCAATGGGCAGTGAAACTTGCCGTCAGCCTGCTTTACTACGTCTCTGTCAGGCTTGGGGATCGACTTTGTGCGCGACGAAGGCGGTGATTCGATGCCTGGTGAGGCATCTTTGCTCTCCGATATGGGCTCGGGTATTGACGGCGCATGCAGCGAAACTTGAATGGGCGAGGAGAAACCGGTTGCGCCGAGATCTAGGCGTGTAGCATCTTGCACGCCGGTGCCATCATCCATGATGCTTCGATCATCTCCCAGGAGTGCAGCATCAGAGGTATAGTGACTGAGATGCTCGGCGACCTCGGAGTCTGTATACCGTTGGTCGGCACCATGGTCGTGTTCGTCGCCTATCGGGGGATAGGCTCCCTCATGGATGAAGGACCTAGGTTCGTATGCGACACTCATGACTGCCGCTCCTCGATACGACGAAGGCGAAGTCGCCCGAGGGTGTCGCGACAACGCCTTGCGCGGCAAGGGAGGCGGAAGTAGGCGACCGCGTGGACCGCGTGGGCCGGGAAGAGAGGGCGCCGGTCGCGCGAGATGTCGCGGAGCGTACTGATCCGGGTAGAAGGTTCCCGTGGGAGTCGTAACCGGCGTCTGGTACAGATTCGCCGTACCCGACGATAAGAGGTCATGCAGTTCTCGACGGAGCGAGTAGGTGGTAGCGTCCGTCTGGGGTGTTTTGCTGGCCTGAAAAATATGGTATGAAGGTGTCAAGCCGTCGGCATCCGCCTCAGCGGAAATCCAGAGTTCAGCCAGCTTGAATTAGTCAGAGGGTAGTTAGTTATCACGTGAATAAAAGGTGGGTCCCTCGACCTTTGTACCCCAGCACTGTGGAAGCACTCCGAACAAGGCCGTGAGTGACAAGGCGAGTCGAATGTGTTCTAATGCGGCTGGCTTGCGACGCGCTGATTCTTCACGATCATGTGATACGCGTCTTGACTCCTCCCTCCCGGTTCCCTCGAGGGGAGGAGAACAACCATCATTTATTCCCGATCAGCTCGGCAGCATGGTTAGGCAACCTTCCAGCGCATGACCCCACCACTTGCGTTCACGGTTTCCGTGCGGCCCGCCATGAGGCATCACGGCCTGTCTGACTCACTTGGCATATTCCAAGCCCCGGCCAAGGCTGATGTCGTCCATTTACCAGGGTGGCAAGGCTGCGCGGCCCTGCTCGATATCCTTCTGTCTTTCATCTTGGCCTTCCTTATCCATACATCTCCCGTCGCCTCCTTGGACGAACCCACTCCTGCCTGGACCTGAACCAACAAGCGAGCCGCGTTCGTGTATCAGGCGCGTGAAGTGGCGACGAGCGGGTAGGCACGAGCCATGACTGACAGAATCATCGTAGGGAACTACCTGGGTAGGCAGTCTAAGAAATCCCAACTGTTGGGCTGAGGCGAAAAGGTGTCATGGGCTAGGACTGTTGCTCGTGTCCGCACACCGGGCGGGTCATCACCATAACGACGAACCAGTTTGGGCAAAGGAGATTTCTGACTATTGCCGTCCCTTTGTATCGTGAGGCTTCTCATATCGGGCAACAAGAAATTCTGACTGGACCACGTCATATGCCACAGCCGATCAGTGAATTTCGTACATGTGATCGGGTCGCCGTCTGATGGTGGTGTGACCGGTTGCGAAAGTGGTTTGAAGCCATGGCTGAAGGCACCACTCCTCATCAACATCGCCCGTGTTTGAGGCACTGGTAGTAGACTCGCCGACGACCTGGAATAGGTCAAGCCTACAAGTTCGAATCACCACGAAATCTTTCGGCGCTGCGTTTGGAAGTGGCATTGGGCTGTATCCTGCCGACGCCGAAACTCAGCCGAGTCACTTACACGGTGATACTTAGCACCACTGGTGTCTTCCCAAACGACATGCGGTGCTACAGGTGCCCACGCACTGGTTAACTTGCAGATCTATGATACACTCGCATACCCAGGAAGCCCTGAAATCCAGTTTCTTGGTTTGCGACGGGGATCTCGTACCCGCATGCCCGAAGTGTCTCGGGAGTCCAAGGCAGCAAGGTCGTGATATGTCCAATAAGAAATGTCCGGCGACAAAAGGTAGATGCATTTCTAACCTGTTCCTGCCTGATGCGGCCTGACAGTTCTCCGCATGATTCGCATTCAAGTGGATGCAATTGGACAAGGACGTCCGTCCATCGTGGTACTATACGCGCCCTATCATTGGCGATGCCGTGGGCACCATATTGAATATGATGTTTAACCAAAGGCACTCCAAACCACTTCAATTCCATTATCCTTTGTACCCTCTGGAGATGTGGGATAGCAATCCAGTTTTCCGGAGGCTTGACAAGGAGGAACTGCCTTGGGGCTTCAGGTGTTCTCCCCATAAGTCCAGGAGTAATGCATGTAGATGCCTAGTGATTATCGCACGTGTTTAGGAGTCTTTTTGTTCTGTTGATAATTATCTTATTAGCCCTTAACATGACTTGTTGACTGCATCGGGTACAAGAACCGGATGGCATGGCATCGAAACATGATGACGGTCGAGCCGACACGCGGTCTGGCCATGCAGTCGTCTCGTCTGTCGGATCGAAAGCATACTTACAACGCTCCTGGCTATGGGTCAAGCAGACATCTCGTTGCTAGATGTACGTAGATGGAACGGAAACGCATTGTTCACCAGTCAAAATAGCAGCCATCGGAGTGGCAATAGGTGCATTTTCTCGCCTTGCGCATCCATCGAATATGATTTGTTCGTGGTTGCGACCGGCCAGAGGGTTACACATCACTCCAGGTCTATTTCGTTTTGTCGACAGAGTCTCGGGTCTTTGCCTAGGCCAGCAGCTTGATTTCGGCCCAATATATGAGCCAGCCGTCCAGGCACCAATGTTGCTCCAGAGGCAGTGAGTGTGGCTGAGGGCCTTGCAGCACATCCTACTTTTTCCTACTATGTTGTTGTGTCGAGAAAGAGGATGGGGATTTCTGAACGCCTCGTTATCCGTGACGCCTCATTTTCCTTTTGGAGGCCGGGGCACCCGTGGTTCAAGCATTCATCCTTTTCGCCCTGTCGACCCTCCCGCCCTGCGCATCGCATAGAATGCAAGCCTCCTTTAGTACGATCACAGAGGTGAGGCAACTTACTTTCGACTGAGAGGAAGCCAGCCTCCAAGATAAGGAGGCATGCACCTCAGAATGATATGCATGTCATGACATCAAAAATGGGCCACTGAAGCGGTAGAATTCTGGAGTCGCCGAGATGGGCATTGCTGCAGATTGGGCCTTGGAGCAGCACCACACCCATGGCTCATATCTATCGTGCTGTGTAGCGGTATACGTGGTTGAATACGTCGACTCGTCTCTCAAGGACACCTTGATCGAGGCCGCATTCGATTCTGTCATGGCAGGCGCTGATGCCGGCTTGTTGGGAGCACACGAGGCAAGGCCGCAGGTCTTGGACGGCCGGGAATTCGTCAGGATGAAAAAAAAAAAAAAACGTTTCTATTAAACTAACATTATGTGAGTAGAGAACAATTCCTCCATTATGCGATACGAGTATAATATCCAAAAAGTGATGAGATAAGTGAAAAAAAAAATGCGCCGACTAGGTGTGTAAGCATCGATAGTTTCAATGTTACTGTGGCTGGTGCCAAAAGTCATCTCACATGCATCTGCACCACCCGACATAGTTTCATTATGCTATTTTCCCGCCCTTTCACCCCCTGCACACGTCTAAAACATTTTATGGATTTAAAGTACACATCCATCGCGAACATTCATCTTGGCCATGGATCCCACTACGCTTCCGCCTTGGCACCTACCCGATGGCGTTACCTCTCGGTTCGTTGACACATCACCAGTCGGACTCGAATTCCACATTCTTGAATCACTGCCGGCTCCAAATTCCGAGGCCGCCGACCGACGACTTCCACCACTAATCTTACTACTCCATGGCTTCCCAAACCTTTCATATGACTGGCGATTCGTCTTGCCGAAGCTAGCTGCCGCTGGTTACTACGCTGTCGCCTTTGACTTGAGAGGTTTTGGCCGCACCCGCAGTGCTGATTCAAGTCGTATCAGCGACGAGGCAATCCGGCCGTTGGCTGCAATCCGCGACGTAGTCACTCTAGTCCATGCCTTGGGTTACACAAAGATTCATACTCTTGTAGGCCACGATCTCGGCGCGTACATGGCTTCCATCACTGCCTTGATGAGGCCGGACATGGTCGGGTCTCTGCTCTTGATGGCGCACACATGGAAAGGCATCACAGCCAGTCCCTTTGGAAGTTCGCCCGCAGACACACTAGCTGCAGCAATTGAATATCCAAAAGTACCCCGCTGGGAACAGGACAAGGACGCGGACGTGCATACATCGCTGGCCAGGCTGGACCCCCCGCGCAAGCATTACAAGTGGTATAATGCTTCAGCCGCGGCATCAGATGAATGGACCTATCCCACCGGGCACCCTCTGCGAGATTTTCTTAGGGGCTACTTTCACTTGAAGTCTAGCGCTCACGTACAGAAGATTCCTCCTCGACCGCTGGCGTCTTGGACGGCGACGGAGCTGGCCGTCCTCCCGCACTACTACGTCCTGCGTGCGCACCAGACGATGCGAGAGAATATTGCGCTCGACATGGAGGAGGAACCTCGGGAGACAGTAGCCAAGCTACATGCCACGCCATGGCTCACTGATACAGATATTGACGTCTACGAACAAGAATACGCCCGTACCACGTTCACGGGCCCGCTGCTTTGGTACCGCGTGCTGACTGACCCCGAACTCTCCAGGGATCTTTCCTGTCTTGCTGGACTGAAGCTCAAGATGCCCACCAAGTACGTTTCTGGCCTCAGAGACTGGGGCACGTATCAGGTTCCCGGGGGACTCGAGGCAATGCAGCAAGGCGTCAGCGTTGAGCCGGAGTGCTGGCGCGGCGCTACTCTCGTGCCCGGGGCTGGACACTGGGTCAACATGGAAAAACCAGACGAGAGTGCCGCTGAGATTCTGAAGCTAGCTGGTACTGTTTTATGAAGCACCCAGAATCTGGGCTGAAGGCGCGTCGTCAGTCTGGTGTCGGCGGTCGAGATTGGGCTTTGCCGCGCAAATCAACGCAACCCGGTAGCGCGAATATATAGACTTGTATAGTCGGATGCGGAACAACTATCAAGTAGAGTCTTAAATGTTTATTTTGCGGTTTGTACTACATCACTCGGCATATTGTACCTGGACTCAAGGACCGAAGGGTACCTTGGTAAGCCAGCTCGGATTAAGCAGGCGGCAAGACCCCACCTTGCCATTTTGGGAACTAGCTTGAGATTGTTGTTCGGCTCAAGTTTTCTTCTCGTGGCTTGCGCCGAGACTTGATTTCACAACCACATCATCATAATTTTCTTTCGTGTTCTTGTTTGCTGCAACTTGCCTGCTCGTGCAAATATTGACCTGGCGGTATACTCCATCTAGCATCAGTTCCGCTAGCTAGACACGCATCAATTGGCCTCGCATCGGCCACAATGGCCCTGTCACAGACGGCCACAAGCTCGGTCGCAGAGCCATCTGCCCCGCGCGTCAAGGCAGCTGATGCGGGCTGTGAAGCTGTTGACGACTGCTCGCACGGTGGAAGCCGCCAGGATCAAGGCGAGTTGCAGCGATACGATTATGATGTTGAGACGGTGGAACGAGTGTACAGGTCGGTCGACTCAGTCTCCTTCCATCCCGATAGCGGCCATGCATACTGACCTTGCCTGTTGGACCAGGAAACTCGACTGGCGGATTATTCCACGTAGGTCATCGCATCTGTCACGCTGAATCATAGCTCACCATCACATAGCCTTCTGGGTTCTCTACTTTTTGTGCTCAGCCATCCGTTCCAACATTGGCATTGCGCAGACCATGAACGTCAGTGACAAGCACGACCTCATGTCAGTCCTGCACTTGACGCCCAAAGACACGTCAACCGCCCTGGCTCTGTTCTACGTGTCCTATGTCATCTTCGACCTCCCGTCCAATCTCGTCATGAGCAGACTCAATCCACGAGTATGGATGGCCCGAATCGTCTTTGCCACTAGCCTTGTTGGGACCTGCTTCGCCGCGGTTCAAAGTGCATGGAGCGTAAAACTGCTGCGTTTCTTGCTCGGCATGGTCATTGCCGGCATGTGGCCCGGCATGGCCTACTACCTGACCCTGTTCTACCCCCCCTCTAGGACGGGCAAGAGAATTGGCATGTACTTTACTGCCTCACAGGTATCTGCTGCCGTCGTCGGACTTGTATCGGCAGGTTTTCAGCTCATGGATGGTCTTGGCGGGCTGGTTGGCTTTCGCTGGATGTTCCTAATTTACGGACTGGTTGGTATTGTCTTGAGCTTCAAGCTGCTCTGGTGGCTGCCCGATCGTCCCTTGGCTCCCGGACAGGTGCGACAACGGTCAAAATGGCTTAGCTGGCTGCCACATCCTCCCGAGGCTCTCACCGGAGACGACGCAATTGTTCATTATCAAGATTTGCGTCGAGTCTACCACCCCAGACCGTGGACTATCAAGGATCTTGTCCAGGTACTCCTGGACTGGCGACTGTGGCCTCTGACGCTGATGTACTTTGGAGTGGTGGGAGTCGGTATTGGAACGCAATTATACGGCTCAGTCATTATCGCGGCAATTCAGCCCACGGCAAGTGCGATTACAGTGAGCTTACTGTTTGCGCCCATTTGGATCGTAAGTCGGTCTGTTTACCCACCGCCCCCCCTCAAACAATCCACTTATCTTTCCCAGATGGATCTCATTGCAATCGTCATTGTCACGCCCCTCTCAGACCGCTTCCACCGCCTCCGAGCCTTCTTCTTCTCCGCCGCAGCCTGCATCCAAATTGCCGGGCTCCTCGTCACGACGTTTGCCAGTAACGGATGGGCTCGATACGGTGGCCTGTTGATGGTGGGCTTCGGCCTGGGCCCGACGGTGCCGATTTGCATGGCATGGAGCTCCGAGATTTTCCAGCGTCGACACGGCGAGGTCGGAGTAGCCGCAGCCACGGCCCTGGTTTCCGGCTTGGGAAACTTGGGTAGCATAACAACAACATATGCCCTCTACGCAGGCTGGCCAGAAGATGCGGCTAAAGGCCCGCATCAGTTCCGCAAGAGCAACCTTACCATGATTGGCATTCTGGGTCTCAGCATCGCAAGCGCGTTGGTCATGACGGTGTTGCTGCGAATGTTTGGTAGCCCGCCTAGTACAAAGCTTCACGACGACGCATTGAACGAGCCCGAGGACGGGGCTGCCAGACGGGAAACGCATCAACGTGGATTTGGTAGGCTGTCAAAGTGGGCGTATCGAACTTGACACTTTGCGCCACGGGATAATGAGCGGCCTCTTCAACAGTCTCCCTCATCAGCGAAAGGGCTGAACCTGCGCCCTAACATTTCTTTCTCGGCGTACGCCTGTACGCCTCGTGAGCCGAATGCACCAGTGACAACGCTCCTACGCTATCGCTGGTGCAGTAATCTCGCATTTTGATTTCGCTTTTTTTTCTTTCCCTTGACGTATGATGTTCCATCTTTGTTACTCTGCATTGTTTTGTTATGATACCCATCAGCGTTTATACCCGCTGTCAGACGAGCATGATGTGCATTTTCTCGACGGCGACAGTGCTTCTACGCCATCGCTGGGACGGCGTGTTTGGACCGAGGTTTGGAACTGGCGGAAATGCTGGAGCGCTATCGTCAAGGACCTCGTGGGCGTTATTTCTTTTTGGCTTTCTATGCTTTTGTGCATGCTACAAAGAGCTTTATGGCAGGCGGGGGGGTGATAGAGTTTGGGGTGAGAATATATATTATTATCATAGATATTGATACAAATATATGCGTTTCCGAACTGCTGCAACCTTGACGGCTCCACAACGAGTTCTTCCATGTATTGTTTATTTCTGGCGCTGCAACTATAATTGGGCGACAACAGCAACAGACTACTTCTACAACATTCAAGCCATGTGAACGATTGGATTATAGTGAGACTTATAGGCAGCGGTATCAACATTCTACGCGATAAGGTAGACGTTCTGGATAGACTCCGGCGCCAACGGTGACACGGGGGAGAATGACACGGCAAGATTCGACCTGATCTTCTGCCCCCAACACTGGCCCGTTGACCTTGTGATCTGGGGTTGGCAGACGCATAGCAAGGCTACATATGTATGGAATAATTCGATATTAAAGAAGGGGTATCCAGGGCTAGTTCGGTTGATAGCCAGGGTCCGACTCCAGGGACCCGGCCAAGTCATGATTGACCATGGAAAATCCGTTGCATCCATTCAACGAGGCCGACGTAAAAAACATGTCACTTCTGAGACTTCTAACATAAGGAGCTTAAACTAACAACCCCTTTCCACCCATCCTTGGACGTCTTTGCCATCTATTCTTCATGTGCCGAGTATATGCGTGGTCTGTGCCGAATCGGCGTTCCTGCCTGGATATAGTCAGCATTACCAAACTCAAGCATGTATATGGCGAACCCATTCCCCTTCTTACCGTTCCAGGACCCGACGCCCCAGCAACCCCATTCCGCGAGTATCGAGCATACACCGCAAACACATGGCGGGCTCTTTTTTCATGTCTGTCTGTGCCAAGACCCACCGCTCTGACACTCCAGAATCTGACAAATGGCGGGTTGGCTTTGAACTCGCATTCAGCGGGTTGCAATATCTCAGGTTGCGCAAACTGCCGAAATTCCCTGACAGTTTCAGCCGATTAGCCCGCATTATCCCCGCCGAGTATCCATGTTCCCTGTCCCGAGCACCTCTCGTATGACAAGCCAAGCTGTTGAATTACGAGGTACCTAGCCGATGACGTGACCGACGACGACAAGGTGGTATCACGCTACAAGAACGCTCTCTTTGCGGAGCAATTCATCTCACCTATATTGCCTGACAGGTGGTTCATGAAGCCCATCAGGCGTCTAAGCCATCTCACCCACAAAGAATGAGGCTACTTTCGCCAGAGTGCTGGATAAATAAACCCTCCCGTCATAATGCACTAGTACCTTTCCGGTAGCATTCGTCATCGTATACTCCAGCCCCTGTTTAATTAACTACCCGTAACAGCCTAGCACTGCCGCGAAAATGCTGATAGAAACCCAAGGGGTAAACAGGAACCCTCGTTCAGTCCCATGGGCGATGCAGCTGAGACCATGGCCAAGGTTGTTATTCCTATTCACGCACGCGAGGTCTGTGCGAAGCTTGATAAAGACGAGGGTGATAGAGATACATTCGTGTGCGCCGGCGGAAATGGCAAGAATGCATGCCGATATGACAGTGGCAGTCCTCTTATCGACCAGGAAACGGGACAAGTAATCGGCGTCACGTCATGGGGCATCCGAGACGAAAATTACGAGTTATGTGGTCAGGCTTCAATGTTGTATACCAGAGTCGGCCGCTACATCTCTTTCATTAACGAAAATATGGGGGATTCCGCTGTGAATCCTAAGCCTGAGCCCGCGGCGACCACCAAGGCAGACGAGCCGTCTTCCACGCCGATGCCAGACAAGGGTCCTTAGGCCAAGGAAGACGAGGTCTGTTCCAGTGCGGAAGGGCCGAACAAGTACCATGTACCTCGAGACGTATGTTGACGAACGGCTGCGCAGTGTGCCTTTAAAGGAGACACAAAACAATGGCGTCGTCACAAACTTTTACGGTGCTGAGAAGTGTATGGATTCCAGGCTGTGAGTCTAGAAACTTGCTTGGGACTCTACGCCCGCCCGAGCGAGGACCCGCGAAGCTACCTTTTTCGCACGAGGCACTTTGAAGCCTCTTAACATACGACTCATTTTCTTGGTGCTCTCTCGACAGTGTGCTCATAAATGTCTAGCAAGCTAGGCATCTTGGTTAAGCACAGCTGTGGTCAGAATGTCGTAGACTCAGAACTCATTGCTAGGAAATATAACGTGGGAGCATAACTATCACGTTATTAGCCTCGTAATTTACTGGACTTCCTGAGGAAATTGTTACTTGTTGTTGTCCCTGCTGCAAACTCTGTCTTTAGTCATGTCTTCATGCCAAAAGACTTGGCCTCTGTTGATCGTAGACGCGATGCACGCTCTTTCCATCAGCATCCGAGACACAATTTCTCTTATACGTCGTTCTTATTACTAACATCCAAGACTATATACAAATATACGCGGTCTAACTGTGAGAAGAAGCACAGAACCAACCAAGAGAGGACTCCGCTATCCTTACCTCCTTGCACCCCCCGCTCGGTTCAACATTATGGTGCTCCGATCGCTAGGCTGTTAGGTTCTTAACAGATTTTCACAGCGTAGAAATAACGTGGTGGGAGGTTCTATATCGTTTGTTGCTGGCAATACGTTGTTGAACTTCTCGACAACCTCCTAAGCCCGGTTAGATTACCGCCTTGTGATTCATCTTTCTTCTTACCACTGAAATATAGCTAGTAGACGTAAGTATTCGACCACCAGGTGGCGTTTAATATCTCCAACGGGGTCGAATACTTATGACACCTCACTGTACGCCTGAAACGGGCACAGAACGGACGCCGGCCTTCTCGGAAACAAGCGGGTCGTTGGCTAATGTCGGCTTTGCAGAACACGATTTCCGGGTAACCCAAGTGCATGGCTCTAAACTTCAGGCTGACGACTTCCGCATATCCCGCAGCAGTTGGCAATGAAGTCAACGGCAACCTTCTCGTTATGAAGTCCAGACTTCTTAAAGGCCTCCTACAGACAAACTGTGATCAATATTAAAGAACGCGTTGCTCAATCCGTCTAGGAAACGGATCAATTTTAACACAATTGCAGCAAATTCAACCCAAGGTACAGAACACGCGGTTCTGCTTACTGGAATACTGGGTTTCTGTATTATATCTAGTAAGATCAATCCCACTGCTCCGGGGATCTCTCGAAGGTTGGGGCCCAACTGGTCCCCTTTACACAAGAGTGCTCGGCTTGCAAGAGGCATTATCGCTTGCCGCGGTTGCTTTCCCGTGTGTTCAGCACGCTGACACTGCAGCTGGTCCGTGTATTTGGGTGCTTCATCTGTCGTCTTTGGCGGATGTCCGGAATGATTCTGACGTGTCAGACCCATTGAGGCTCAAGAAACTATCTCTGCACGAATCATCTGTTACCTACATTTCATTCACCAACACGGAATTAAGGCTGACTGACCAGCCTTTGTGAAAATGGCCCCGCTCTTGCTGTAAGAGCAGCACCAAACTCGAGAGCTACTTTATACACTTTATGCAGCCACCGCCTCCTTTGTTCTTGACAGTCAAACAGGTGTGACTGTCTTAGCCCGCGCTTTTGCCGGGAGTTCCGCAGCTGCGGCTCTTCCGCCAAATTGCTCTGTCTCGGCTGGAAAATCTTTAGGCTTGATAGTATTCATACCCTTTGCTTTATTACTTGAATGCCGTATCCGTGCATAATGGCAATGACTTTTCATTTCAAAAGGGAACGAGTAAAAGAGGTTTTTACATTCAACACACCTTCATCACTTGCAGTTACAGTTAAGCTACGCAGCTGCTGGAACTAAAGGCAATGCATAAATCACCGCTACTTTGAATATCAGAATTACGTCAGGGTCTTTTACAAGCTTGCAGGACCTTAGAATATAGCAGAGTGTGACTCGAAATGAAGCTTGTTGCGCGTTTCTGAAGGACAACGAACGAAGAGTCAATCCATGGAAGAAGATCACGGTCAGTTGTTGCACTCCTCGTCCAACACCCCGACGCATGAATTCAGAGCGTCAGGGCCACTTTCTGTCCCCTGACTGTTCGGTCCAATTATATCTTCTGCCTTGTATTCGCGGGTTCTGCCTCATCATCAACCAACAAGCAACAACAATTCCAACACTTCTAGACCCTTTGACCCCAGTCATGCATGCAGGGCTTGCGTTGAAAGTATTTCAGTTGTTTTCAACTTGGCAAAGAAATTGCTGTAGTTCAGAATAACTTGTCACCACCGAGCATCGGCTCCTGTTTTGCCGTGATAGCAACGCGGCTGCCACATCGACGCAGCGCATGCCGGTAGCGTGGCCTGTGACAATAGTTACGTCTTCTTTTGACTGTTAACTCTACGCTCTTGGAATATTTTTAAACTGAGTCTTGATGAGGAATCCTGCACGCCGCATCTGTCTGTTGTTCAGGCGATCCATATGTTGTTGGGCACTGGTGGTGTTGTGCGAGCGAGCAAAACCATGCATGCCCTCCTCTTGGCATGCCACGATATCATTGGCCTGACAGGAAACGGCCACTGACGCTTTCGGTCAAGACGGGCTTTTTACCCGTGCGTCGATTAGAAGTCATGACTGGAAAACAGATGGTCTGGCTCAGATATGTCGTAAGGGTGGAGGACAGACTGCCTGGTGCTCGTATGCTTCGTGACGGCGCTTTTGTATATCGGAAAATCTTGTCCGCTTTGCTCTGTTGTTTTACCAGCTTAGTTCTTCCTTTCTATCGTGACTGAGCTTTTAAGCCGTTCAGTTCTTACTCTATCTGCTCTATCGTGACATTAAAGAGGACGATGCAACTGGGCATAACCAACGTGCCGCAAATGCAAAGCACGGGCCGAGCATAGATCTACCTGAGGTCGGGACATATGTCACCGGACCTTGATTCAATGTTGGGAGACTGTCGTCTGAGTCTTCTTTCCTAGCATCCACCAGCAAGGTCGGGGTATTGTATGGGCGCTTATCTTTAAGCGACGTAATCAGAAGTACTCTGATATATATACACATGTACTGCTTTTGTGTATATTGTGGCATATCCATATATACTAAACCAAGCAAATATATCTCAACAAAGTCCGGCTACATCATAGCTCGATTATCGAACAGTATCCTGAACAAGTCTAGAATGTAATAGCATGATGAAAGAAAGAAGGGGGAGTGGGTGTTGTGTTGTGTTGTTGGTTCCGTCGTCGTCGTTGTTACACAAAAGGTACTAGGTACTTCGGTACTTTGGCACCCCCAGGTTTTTGTCTCTGTTTTCCTCCGTCTCCAGAACATCCAACGCATCGCAGTCCTCGCTCGTCCCTTCCAGTCTCGCCGAGAATGCCTTCCGACGTCTCAAAGCAAGCACCGCCGCCTCCCCAGAAATACACTCCTGGTTATGGCTGGTGGAACGAATACGAGGATATTGCACAGGTATTGCCCCATGAACGAATTGACCGCTACGTTCCGGGAGGTTTTCACCCAGTAGCACTGGACGATACTTTTCACAACGGTCGGTATACAGTCAGAAATAAGCTTGGACACGGAGGATACTCGACCGTCTGGCTAGCGAGAGACAACGACGTCGGGTAAGTACGCGGATTATTTTGCAGTGCGCGAGGCTAACTTCTCGCAGGCGTTGGACCTCATTGAAAATTAAACAGGCTTACGTCTCAACGGAGTCTTTGGACGATGACAAGGATGTCAGAGCTTTGAGGATTCTGGAACAGAATTATGCGTCGAGCGATTCATCAAGCCCACCGTGTTTCGCTCGGCTTTTGGACACTTTCCAGCACCATGGACCCAACGGCACGCACACCTGCGTTGTAACCGAACTTCTCGGACCAACATTATCTTTTCTGGTTAATAATTACAATGATTATGACATTCAGGAGCTTTTTCGCCCCGATACCATTTTGAGGGCCTCTAGGCAGCTCCTAGAAGCAATTCATATGGTCCAAGAGTCCGGGATAGTACATGGAGGTATCGTCTGTTATTCATCCCATTGCCCACATGATTCAAGAATCGAAGACTAAAATTTGCAGACATATCTTCAGGTAATGTGGTTTTCACATGCTACCAGCTCCTCGAAGATGACGAGGAACTTCAGGAGATTCCCGGAGGGGATCCCATCGTCGCCGAGTACACAGGGACCGAACCGTTGCCGAGCTACCTTCCAAAGCATGTCGTAGCCGCGACTTCCTGGAACGGTTGGTATGACTATGCAGAGGAGGATGTCAGGTTAGTAGACTGGGGAGAATTTTTCTTGACTAGTGAGACGGCAACGGCAGCTAGTCTTGCTCAACCCCTCGACCTGAGATCCCCCGAAACCTTCTTCGTCGGTTCCATTGACTACCACCATGATTTATGGAGGGCAGGCTGCGTCGTAAGTTTGCCCGCTTGTCCTACACCCCTATCCGACTTGCAGACTTGGTAGCCTTACCAGGTCTCACTTCCAGATTCACGTATTATTCTATCAAATGTCACCATTTGGGTTCCCCTCTTGTGATGATGCAAGTGAGATCCAAAAACAGACCCAAGTCATCGGTCCGTTGCGGCCAGAGTGGCACGCGAAGTGGCTGCAATTGATAAAGGAAAGCACAGAGTACAAACCATTGCGTAAGTTCTGACCAAAGCCTATGACACCAGGATGTTTTGACTCATGTTGATGGTAGCGGACAACGCATTCGAACGTCTCGATCAAAGCTTTGAGCCGCGCAGATTGGCTATCATTTCTCACGCATCCTATGGCAGTGACGAAGACGAATACCACATGAAAGACAACTATGAGGCGTTGACGTGTCTCCTAGGCGTGATGGAAGGGCTCATGCAGCATGAACCTCAGAAACGCATCTCTGCTCAAGAAGCCGCGGCGAAAATTCAGTGGCACGATTACCGGAGAGACTCGAGGTCAGTTGAATCGGAAGAAGAAATTACTGAGAGCGAGGGGGGACGGGAGTCTGACAGCTGACGAGTTTTTTTTATGCTGCGCCTACTCTGGATATATCTTGATGGAATAGGAGGAGGGCCAATATCAGTCTTCTCATCAACAAAGCCGACTCACCAGGTCGTAGGCAAATAGAACTAGAATACTGTCCATGGCTCCCCGCTGAGAATGTTGAGCCAAGGTGGCAAAAGTGAAGTCAGCAGTCACAAGCAGGACAGCTCCTTTGAAGAAAACTATTAGAGTTCAGGCAGCGGCAGTAGCAATGATTGCAACAAAAACTATTACATCTTGTGACCATTGAGAGTACAGACAGGGTCAAATAGATGGCGGGACGCATCAACATAAATATCCGTGCAAACGTGTGCTCCATCGTCTACTTCTCTGGCAAAACAGCCTAGCCCCAGAAATTCCAGATTGTGATAGCCTTCAGTCTACATGAGAAAACTTTTAATATCATGATTGCCGCGAGTATTTGACGTTGCAAGACAATCGTGTCATCCTCAGACCTCGTCTCGTTACGATAGAGAGCCAAGTGTTGTCTTCATCTCCCTTGAACTCTTGAATGGGGGGAAGAAATGATTCCAGACGCGACTTCCTAGCAGCGACCACGACTAGATGGCTCAAGTATCTCGCCAGAGAAGAAGGCCCTCTTATGTGTGATACGAAATTGCATAAATCCACCCTGGAACAGCAGTGGGGATAGATACAGTTGCTTGCCAAGTAATCATGAGTTGATGGAGATTTACTCAGTCCGTACGGTAGCGTGGACCTCACATCCAAGTTCATTCCATTGTGACCTGGGATAACGGAAATCCAATCTCAAATGACATTGCAAAAAGTCAAAGAATGAAAACTCGCTTCATAAAGATATACTTGAGTATGATGGTCTGATGAATTGAAAGAAAGACCCGTATAATTGCCTGGGCAGTTGCCGCAACATCTCGATAATCATGTCTGGCTTTATACTCTGTTACCTTGTCGCCGCTATAAACTCAAATTCTCACCTCGTGTCTAACAAATATTACATATCAGGCCTCATCCCATGTTATTGCATGCTTTGTCGCGCGTTACTCCAGACCCCCTGACCTGCTATCTCAAACCCCATGCTCCACGGACTCTGCAGAGAATATACCGTTTCAAACATGAGATTGTACCTCAAGGCCCGTTCTCCTCTCTTTCATCGAAAAGACTCTATGTATAAATGCCATTTTCCATAAAAATATAGTCATGTAAGAACAAGGCAAGGCCAGAAGAAAGGCATCTCTATGCCCTCATCAAGGCCGTCCCTCCATCGCTGCTTCGAGAATTCTGTGTAGGCACATGCTTTGCTTTCATCAAAGTAGAAGGCCATCTCTATTAGTGGCCCGAGCATGCCAATCATATCCCAGGACGCATCGCAACTTTTAAAAACTTTTACCATCCCTCTCATTACCGTATAAAGGAAAATTAAATGAACATGGAGAAAATGTCATGAGAAAGAAGGCGGCGGAACGTTATCAGATTATTACAGTAACTTTGGGGTATGAACGAGCTTAAATATCGTCCTCGTCGCTGAAAACCTCCTCACCACGCTTGCGGCGGGCCATACGCTCTGTATCAACTGGTTAGCATCAACTGTCTCTGGTGGAAAGCCCTTGTGCTATTGCATTGACCTGGATGCATAACTGAATAAAAAATAATATGGCAGAAGGTGTCTCTGTCTCTGGACGTACCATTAGAAGCAGCCTTGAAGTTTTTAACAAAGATGGTAGGCTCTTTTGGAAACTAGGCTTTAATGTTGGCTTAAAAGTTCCACAAGTTGTTATGGAATAAAGTCGAGTATTATGGTTTTGACCTCCAAACTCGGCGACATTTGGCGCCGCTTTTGACGGCGACGGGCAGGGAATAACAGACCCCCTTTTGCAGACCCGTGCAGTATCCCAAATCCTGATTCTGCGTCCATCCGACTCCGTGAGGAGATCCTCAGCGGATAAAGGGGACATAGTCCTCCCACCCCCAATTGTTGGACCCTATATTGATTTGCACCCGAGTTTGTACCCCAGAGGCAGATCCACTATCACGAAAAAGAACGCGCTCTAATTGAATAGCAACTATAGCCCCTTATATTCCGTTGACATCCACTACCGTAAGATGCTGTGACTGAGAATTTTCTAGCATGGGGAGTAGGCATAGCGACGGACATTACATGAATGTCGTTGCAAGACGTGTGTGATGTGACTCCCGCTTTGTGACAAGGGCTTAATAGAGGGCTTGAAGCAAAAGGGCTTAATTTAATGATAATCTTATAGGATATTAAAGGTTCTTAGTTTTCTTTAAGCTAAAAGGTAAGGGGAGACTATCTTATATATATAAAAGAAATAGCTTATACCTAATATACCTTATAGTTCTCGTAATCTCTTTATATAATAAAGAGCTTTTAATTTTTACTTAACTTAATTTATATAATATTAGCTCTCTTCTTTTATAAGCTTAATTTTAAGCGGTATAAGGCTATTTATACTCTTTAATTTTAAGGCTTATTAAAATAATTTAACTTATATTATTATAATAAGAACTTTATACTTTTACTTAAAAAGTATTTATAAGGCTTTTAAGTTTAATACCTTTTAATTAATTAATCTTTTCACTTGATTAAGTACTTTATATTATTATTATTAATTTATTAAAAGTTCTTAACTACTTTTACTTAATAATCTTTATTTACCTTAATAGGTAACGCGTTTTATAAGATCTATATAGTATTAAAAGCTTCTTAATTATTATTTATATAAAATAGCTTAATTAAGAAGACGTGAAAGGAATTATAGATTCTTTAAGAAGCTAATAGAGCTAATTATACTATTATTAAGGAGATTACCTTAATTATCTTAAAGGGTTCTAATATCTTCTTATTTAGTTTCTTTAATTAAGTACGTTACGTTATTATTATTAATTTATTAAAAGTCTTTAATTACTTTTACTTAATAATCTTTATTTACTTTAATAGATAACGCGTTTCGTAGAATTTATATAATATTAAAAGCTTTTTAATTATTATTTATATAAAATAGCTTAATTAAGAAAACGTAAAAGAAATTATAAATTCTTTAAAAAGCTAATAAGATTAATTATACTACTATTAAAGAGATTACCTTAATTATCTTAAAGGGTTCTAATATCTTTTTATTTAATTTCTTAATAGGTTACTTTATCTTAATATTTTAGGTATTTAATATTACAAGTTAATTTACTTTATATTTAAGGGCTTTTATACGTTATTAATTAAATTAATCTTTTATTTATTATTAGCTTTATTTTAAATACTTCTTAGCTTTCTTATATACTTAAACTATTTAATAAGAGTATAATTTACTTTTAGGGTTTCTAGGTTCTTCTTATAATATAAATAGATTACTTATTAAAGAGTAAAAGCTATAATTCGCGTAAAATAACGTTATTTTAATTAAGGCTAATATAAAGTTATTATATATAAATTCTACTATTAAAAGAAGGTTTTCTTAGTTTAATATTTTATAGTTTATAAAGGCTTAAAGATATACTTTAAGAGTTTAATTTATACGCTTTATTTATCCGTTTATTTATAAATAAAAGGTAATACTTATTTAACTTTTAATTCCTATAAGCTTAAGAAAGTTAATCTATAAGTATACTATAAATCGCGAGTCTTTATTTAATATAATATTTTATTAGCTTAAACGCAATACACACATATACACTTATAACTCTACACGCGATATTATAATCTAGTTACTTTTTAATTCCTATAACTTACTTCTTAAGAATAATAAGGTTCTTAAATAAGTAATAAATTAATTTAAATAGAGTAATTAAATACTTTTAAAATACTAGTAATTTTAATTATACGTATTATAAGTTATAGCCTATTATAAGTGTAAATAAGTACTTAAATAACTTAAATAATTTAATTATATAGTGTAAGCTTATATAAGGCTAATTAAATAACTTAATAAAA